GAGGAAGCTTCGTCTCCATTCATGCGTTGATGAGACCAGCTAGATTACGTGTAGAAAAAATATTCATGCGTCTCCATTCTAAAATGCATGGTTACCTTTAAATGCAACTCTGGATCTAAGAAAAGTCTTTAAGCTGCTTTGTGGATTTTAGCAAAGGGGGAGGTTGGAAAGCCATATTAGTTGACATCTGAGAAAATGACACTTACTTTAAAATCATTAAATAAAAAATAGATTAATGTAAAAACTAAAATTAACTTAAATTTAACTAAAAGTTATACAAAAACTAAAGTGAGTTGTGTGAATAGTACATAAAAAACGAAAAAACTAAATTTGTTAAGTTATACGTAAGGCTGATTGTATTTTATTTATTTTGAATTTTTCTCTTTTATGTCTGGAGATAAATGATAACCAACTACTTCCATCTACCACCCACTTTCATTTGTGAAAAACATAGTAGACTTTCTAGGGTAGTTAGATAATTCAATAATAGAACTAATCAAAACCTTCTCTAGAACTCACTACTCGTTAGCCACCTCACCCACTTGCTAAACTTGCTCTATGATTTCTCCTAAAATTTTGCCCTAATCTCCATTAAAGTTAAATACCACTAAATGAATAGGAGATAATTGCAAAAAACACCAAATCTAGTAAGACCTATGACAACCATCAATAAGATCTGTCATGCTCCAAATCATAGTAATATTAAGTTAACTTGCTTAATCATAACCACTCATTCAAATAATATGACACATTGCATTATTAAATACATTTGTAATTTATGATGTGAATAGTAAGTTTCTATGTATTTAGGCAATTTTTTGAGATTTAATTGGAAGACGAATTAGAAAGAACGTCGGGGTTAACTTGCAACGCATGTAAGATGGAATTCAATGAGTATTCGAAGGAAAGACTTCATTACAAGTCCGATTGGCACCATTACAATTTCAAAGTTTCATTGCATCCTCCTTCATTGCTACTCTTTTGGACCTTTTCTCGAGCACCTTCGCTGCTTAATCATAAATTACAAATGTATGATTAATGTAAAATCTAAAACTAACTTAAATTTGAGAAAATAACACTTATTTTAAAATCATTAAATAAAAAATAGATTAATGTAAAATCTAAAACTAACTTAAATTTGACTGAAAATTGTACTAAAACTAAGATGTGAGTTGTGTGAATAGTACATAAAAAATGGGAAAACTAAATTTGTTAAGTTATACAAAAGATTGACTGTATATTATTTATTTTAAAATTTTCTTTTTTATGTCTTGAGGTAGATGATAACCACTTACTTTCATTTACCACCCACTTTCATTTGTGCAAAAGATAGTAAGCTTTCTAAAATAGTTAGATAACTCAGTAATAAAACTTGTCAAAACCTTCTCTAGAACTCGCTACTTGTTTGCCACCTCATTCACTTGCTAAACTTGCTCTATGACTTCTCTTAAAATTTTGCCCTAATCTCCATTAAAGTTAAATACCACTAAATGAATAGGAGATAATTGCAAAAACCATCAGATCTAGTCAGACATATGGTAGCTATCAATAAGATTTGTCATGCTCCAAATCATAGTAATATCAAGTCTTGACTTGCTTAATCATAACCACTCATTCAAATAATATGACACGTTGCATTTCATTAAATATATTTGTAATTTATGGTGTAAACAGCAAATTTCAATGTATTTAGGCAATTTTTGAGATTCAATTGGAAGACGAAGTAGGAAGAATATCGGGGTTAACTTGCAACTCATGTAAGAAGGAATTCAATGAGTATTCAAAGGAAAGACTTCATTACAAGTCCGATTGGCACCACTACAATTTCAAAGTTTCATTGCATCCTCCTTCATTGCTACTCTTTTAGACCTTTTCTCGAGCACCTTCACTGCAATCTTGACTCCACTGGGGAACTGCCCTCTATAAACAACCCCAGATGCTCCAGACCCCAACCTGGTAGATTAATTGCTGGTAAAGGCACAGAGGTTCTGCACGTGCAACAACCTCCCGAAATTGAACCGCATGTTGCGGCCGACTTGTCCGAGTAAGGACACAAACAATTGCAACTGATATACAATGACCAGGTGATTCCTAAAATCAAGCACATTTCCTTAAAAAAAACAACATGCATGTGTAATATGGACTGTTCCTTACACGTCTAGATAAAGGAATGCCTTTCCACAAGTAGACTAATTGGAAAGGACAAATTAAGTTGAAGAAAAGATTTTATCTTTGATTGCTGGTATGATCGAATTATACTGAATTACACATAGGCAACAACCTAGGCCATCATAACATGAGATCTTGGAGGTTGTAGCTTTATCTTCTGTATCATTGTAT